CTTGCATCCCAGACATACAACATTAACAGGTACACTAGAATTCTGAAGGTAGCTATACTGCAAAATAGTTTAAAATTAGATGATTGTACAGTATTCATTTATGCTTGGAATTCCAGTCCTAGACCAAGCTTGTGGCCACTTGCTGTCCAGCGGAGCAGACAGCGTCAGTTCGATGCCTGGCTTTAGGGTCTGAGTGTAGCCTAAACCCATCAGGCTGCAGTTGTTCACCTTGTCCAAGAAGCAGGCGTCAGGGTCGATCTGATACTTGGCTGCTATTCCGAGGGGAGTGGTGCTGTTCCCGGCTGTCCAGGTGAGATTGACAGCAGTCTCCAACTTCTCGTTCACCTTCTGGTAAATGGAGCCGCCAAACTCTGTCCCGTCATTCACACTGGTGTGAAGCTGGAATTCATACGTCTGGTAGCCAACCGCAAAGTTGCTCTGCGTCACCCGGGACTTGGCGGTCTTGAAGTTCATCTGGTAGCCGGCCAGCCAGCCCTTGTAGCCCAGCACCAAAGTCCCGAGGATGGCAGGCCCGGCGAGGTCGAAATCCACGTCGTAGCCAGGTTGACGTGCTCCCGCTTGTACCCCGTCTTGATTTGGGCGTTCTTTTTTCCCAGTGTTTGGGGAGAAGGACAAGTCGAAGGCCAGCTTCAGTCTGCGGGTCAGCTGGTCTTCCACAGTGATCTCGGTGCCGAGTGTGTTGTCTGTGTTCCACTTCTCCGTGAATGTCAGCCCGTAGTCGGTCCCCCGTCCTTGGTTTCCAGACTGCCCGTGACTTTGTTGGTCTCGGTGTTGGCTGAGCCGGAGCTGGTAAATTCCAGTCCATTCTCGGATTTTCTTTTCAAATCCAGTTTTATGAGGCCAAACCCGTAGCCCTTGGTGAAGACAGCCCGAGGAGGTTTGCCAAGGTCAATGTGCGTGGGAGGGACAGCCCTCCTCTGCTCGGAGGCGGTAGCAGCGGGCTCCGTGGTGGACGGCGTGGGCTGCGGTGCAGAGGAACCGGCCAAGGAGGGTTTTTTGTTTGTTTGTTTGTTTTGAGGATTGAGGTGTGTCTGACCCAAGCCGTGATATTTTCAATTGCCTTCAATGCATGTGAAATTAAACAAGGAAGATTAAGGAAAATCAATTCATTTGAACTCTGGTGTTGGCAAAGAATCTTGAAAGTACCAGTGGACCGCCGAAAGAACAAACGGATCGGCCTTGGAAGAAGTGTCGCTAGAATGCTCTTCAGAGCAAGGCCGGGGGACTCGTCTCTGGTACTTCGGACGTGTTGTCAGGAAAGACCAGTCCCTGGAGCAGGAGACCGTGCTCTCTGAAGGCAGCGGAAAGGAGGCCGGCTCTGGACAAGATGGACGCACACAGCGGCTTCAACAGTGGGTGAGGGTGGTGCAGCACTGGTGGGATTTCGTTCTGTTGTACATGGTCACCATGAGTTGTAACCGCCTCGATGCACGGCACCTTTCATCGTGTGTGAGGCACGTCCTGCTATTTCCATTTCTCGTTGATTATTTATCCTTCTTCAGCCCTTATCCCAAGGGCTTTGCCATCGAGTTTCCTTGAGGGATTCCTGATGTGATGACAGGGTTTTTCTGCTTCCCTTTCCTGGGAAACAGAGTTCTGGGCTTTGTGCATTAAAACCTTGCCCTGGGTACCCATGGTCTGCACGTCATCTCTGATTTCCCTGGGCTTCTGTGCTGTTGCTTTGTTCTCAGCATACGAGGCTGCTCACTCTTCCTTCCTGCCTTACATTGGGCTCTAAGTGCTTCTCATCTGTCCTCTAAGGTAAGTTTTTCCTCAGGTACCAGTATTCTTTATAGGACAGGGAGTGCAAACCCGACAAATTAGTTTGTCGTGCCCTCCTTTTCCACCAGTTACCCACAGTTTGCTTAGGTTGCAACTTACCTTGAGGTCTCGGGCACTCCAGTTCACTCCCTCTGCCTTGCCCGTACTCCTTTCCATTGCTTGTGCCCAATGTTTTGCTCCTTCTGAATTTCAGCCCAGTGGTTCCGTCCTTCAGGTCTTCTTTGCGCTGATCGTATTTAAATGACCTTCCTCTTTGTTGGTTTTGCATAGGTTTTTGGCTGTACCATCCCACCAGCCGCTTTGCACGAGAAAGATGAGGCTCTCTGCTCTTAGAGAAGTTTACAGTCTCGTGAACCCTCTGTCTAGTTGCCGTGAGTCAGAAAGCACTTGATGGCAGTGAGTTTGAGAAGATCTCTTGGTCTGAGAGGCCAGGCATCATGATCTGTCGTCTTTTTGGCTACTGTCATTGCTACGTAGAGGTGTTCAGCAGCTCTTACATGAGTATTTGTGCTATGGACAACCTGCATCCACACCTGCACGTGTGTGTCATGTGTTATTCACTCAGACTGACCAACAGGGACGAAAGATACTTTATTATTTTTTTCCAAAGACAGTGACACACTACTGGACACTGCCGGTTTTTCCTCTGTCCCCCTCCAGGGCTGTTGTGTTTGTGGTGGACAGTGCGGCATTCCAGCGAGAGGTGAAAGACGTGGCTGAGTTCCTGTACCAAGTGCTCGTTGACAGTGTGGGCCTGAAGAACGCACCCTCCTTCCTGATAGCCTGCAATAAGCAAGGTGCCTTCCTCCTCCGTGCTCTGGGCTTGCTACTGGAAAGTGGTACCGTTGCCTAAAGGGGTGCTTATTGAGGATGAGTGCTAGGTGCTGTGTAAGTAACTGTAACCTCAAGCATTTCACACCTTACATTTTATTTCTGCACCTGTGTTTTCGTCACTGTTCACAGGCTGTTGTAAACAAAGATGACAGATCGTTCCAACTTTCCTTTGATAGTGTTTTGTTTAAGGTATAAATTATCTTACATTATTAAGTTAATCAGATTAATGATATAGCCACATTCTTTTTTAAAGGTGGGGGAAGAGCATTTATAGTTCAAATAGGAATGTTGCATCTTTTTCAGGAGTCTTGGGAGAAGACCCTTATTGGTTTAAATTAAAAATGTGTTGGTTTCTTACTAGATATTGCAATGGCCAAATCAGCCAAGTTGATCCAGCAGCAGCTTGAGAAAGAACTGTAAGTATGAGCGGGCCCCTTAGACCTCAAACAGAGTTCTTATTTCTTTCTTTGGTGGAGCGTGATTATCACAAGGAGACAGAAGATGAGTGGATCTGCTTGTTAAGTTCTTGATGGAGGAATTTGGAGTAATGAGAGCATGACTGGGGTGTTTATAAATATTCTTAGCCTTCATGGAATGAAGAGCTCAGAGTATTGAAATGATTACCCTCAATTTATTTTGCTACTGTCAACAGTAGAAATTAAGAGGTTTCAGAAATTAAGCCATTTAAAAGTCATTTTTGTTGATAAAATTAGAAAGGAACATTTGGGAAGAATTTAAAAAGATACTATTTGTAGTTTATTTTATTGTTTTTAAGCTACTCTGACGATATCATTTAGCTTGTTTTTTGTGTTTAAAATGTTGCAAATGGGAGCTACCTATAAGCTTTTGAATTTTAGGAAAACCAGCATGTCTTTATGTTCTGCCGGCCAAAGGCTTGTTTAGGCAGAAAATGATCTACTTTTTAACAAAGAAGGTGGATTCAACTTTTAGCTCAAAATATCCAATAATTTCTTGTCTCCTTTATTCGTTTACCAATCACCTATAGTGCATGCCCTCTGTGCCACGTATGGTGCATGCCCTCTGTGCCACGTATGGTGCATGCCCTCTGTGCCACACCCTCTCTTGGGATGCGGCCGTAGGGGAAGTCTGCGACACTCCTTGTACTCGGGAGCTCAGGAGTCCAGGAGAGGATGGGCTGGCAAACTCCTGCCCAGGGGCCTGCAGGCTAGGAATAGTTTTACATTCTCAGAGAGCGGTTTAAAACAAAAGAAGAAGAAGCCATAGACTGAACTGTGGTCCACAGAGCCCAAAAGGTTTTCATTTCTGGCGCTTTACAGAAAAAACTGAGCAGTCTTAGTCATTTTCAGAGGTTTCTATTCCTTCTGAAGTTTCTTTCTTACAGTGTGTCTTCCCATGCGCTGACGCTCACTCTGGAGGCCCTGCGGATGCTGGCTGTCGGGGCTGAGGGAGTCGGGACAATGCGATGATCCCATTGCAGTTGTTAGAGATTATTCTCGGGAATGCAGGCTGTGGGGATGTTTGTGCATCCGCTTGTTTGGTTTCTAAACTAGGCTGTTTAACAGTCTTCCCTTCTGTGAAAGACGCATTTTCCTTAGTCCATGTGCTTGTCACGCTAAAGACGCATAGAAAAAGAGCAGGCAGTGCCGTGAAGTGCAGTGTTGGAAAGATGGAAAGATGAGTCAGTTGGTTGTATCTTCATTGGTAGTGAGAAGTGATCCTGTCAGCTGGACGCACGTCATGCCTTTCTGACTAACAAGGCTGCACTGCCTCTGTGACCTTGTGACCAAAGCTAAATACATTCAATAAATTATGCTTCAGTATCACACATATTTGAAAAAGTGTGGCCCATGCATTGAATTTAAAGAATGTAGAAATGAATACATGCCCCACCCCCACCTTGCTTGGTTAGGGGGTGGTGGTGGTCCTTCTGTTTCTCCCTGAGGACAGGAGTCCTATCTGGATTTGCTATTAATTATGCATTGCTTGAAAATACTTCCTGTGTGTGCACAGGCATGTGTGTGTACCCCTAAATGAAGTTATGGGCTAGTTTTGCTTGTGGGTTCTCCACAGAATTTCAAGTAACGTTATCAAGAAGTGATTTGTTTAAAGCATGTAGGTATGTCTGCCTCTACTTCTTATTAGCAGAAAGAGTCAGGGGGTATAAAATGACTGCTGCTACCTCAGGAACAGTGCTGTGGCTTACACACCTCTTTAAGGGTGCCTGGTGGCCCGTGGGTGAGGCGCTGGGCTGTAAAGCGCAAAGTGGGTCATTCACACCCTCCCTCCCTGACAATGCCACTGTGTCTCCGTGGCCCTTTGGGCTAGGTCTCCTTTGTCCGTTATGATCTCCCGGAGTCAGAATAGACTCTCTTCTTGCAGCCAGCGGGTGGCAGGGAGGGAAGAAGGTCTTTGTGTTACATACTTATTTAAAATACATTTTAAAATGCATCACGCAGGAGGTTGGGTTTGTAGGGGCACCGAACAGAAACGGTGGTTGGGCGTGGCGCACACCAGATCTATCTGTTCCTGTGTAAGGTCAGAGTGCGTCCCACCTGCCTGCCCGAGAGGGTGGTCCTCAAGGCAGAGGCTTGCGCCCCAGCCTCGACAGTGTGATCGATGTCTGAGTGCCGAGTCTCTTAGGAGCAGAAATGATTTCTTAGGGCGTTTAGCTGCTCTGTAAACACGAAGCTGTGTTTGCTTCCTGATGTGTTTTCCTTGTACCTCACAGCAACACCTTACGCGTCACCCGGTCTGCTGCCCCCAGCACACTGGACACGTCCAACAGCGTCCCTGCCCAGCTGGGGAAGAGAGGCAAGGAGTTCGAATTCTCACAGCTGCCCCTCAAGGTCGAGTTCCTGGAGTGCAGCGCCAAGGGTGGAAAGGGGGACAGTGACCCTGCAGACGTCCAGGACTTGGAGAAGTGGCTGGCTAAAATCTCCTGAGCTGAAGATGTGGATTTGCGGGTGACTGACAGTTTGGGCAAGGATCTATCTTAGACAGGGATACTGTGGTGAGAAGCAGGTCCTTGTCCCAGAAAAAGTAGCATGGGATTTTTTAAAAAAATCCCTTCTCCTTTATAGCTCCCTCGTTTTGATTTGACTCAGGAATCTTCCCTCTGTTAAGATCTATGCCACATCTCTTTAGCTTGTGCTGGATGGAGGCTCAGGTCCCCGTGACACCGCAAGCAGCCTGCACATAGTGGGCATCACCGAACAGCTCTCACCCGAAAGGTTGTCTGATTGTCTGTGTGTGCCTGGCATGTTTGGTTTCCAAGTGCCCCTGACTTGTCACGGGCAGTACATTGCCTGGTGCTCTGTGCAGTCCCCTGTTTGTCGGTACAACTGCAGTGTCGGTCCCCCCACATTTAGTGGCTGCTGGAGAACAGTAATGCAGAGGGGGATATGAGTGCCAGGTAGCGGGCACTGTTCTTCAGCTCAGCAGGCTTCCAAGGACACCCAGGCTTTCCAACCATGCCTTATGTCTCCAAAACATGCGTTCATGAACCCTTGGAAGCATTCCCGGCAGTAAAAGGTAAACACCAATCCCCAGATGCCAAGAATCTAGTTTTCTGGTGGTTTCCATCCCTGGGAATGTCATGGAAATTGAAAGACAGTTAGGTTCCAGTGGATGGCTGAGGTGCTCTTGGGCTAGCTTCATGCATTGCTTGATCAGCTCCGATTTTACACCTCTCGCTAAAATGCTAGGAACAAATTGGAAATGAGAAAAATGCTCTGCTAGTTTTTGAAGTGTGTTTATATTCTTTGATGGGGAAGAAGCTGTCTGCCTTTTGAAAGCACTGCCATTTGCTGCCTCCTTAAGTATCCGGCCTTTATAAACAATGTATTCATTTCTTGGTGAATAAAACCTGTGTGGCTTCAAGCATTTAGAACGATGTGGTAAGGCTCGGCGGACATCAAGTGTGTGGGGCCCAAGGCGTGCATCCTGCTTCCATGTCCCCACTACACACCACACTCTGGACAGACTCCGGCAGTGGGCATGGGGACAGTGGGGGCGGGGACATGGGACAAGTGAGCAGGCCGGCACAAGCCATTGAGCGGGCTGTGTAAGGCACTATTGGAGCACACACCAGAGCCACATAGCCTGGTCCTGTGCTGTCAAGGAGCACCAATAAATAGGGCTGTTCACAGTTCAAATGTGGCTCCACCCCATGTACCCTCTGCCTGCTGCCAGGGTATGTGCTCAAGTATGAGGCCCAGGGTCTCTGAGCAAGACACTGCCTAGGATCCACTGCCCAGCGCCCCCTCTACTGGGCACCTGTGACCAGTGCGACTGGTGTCAGACTGCTGACTAAGCGCCCCTGGCCTGATGCCCCTGTCCAGGAGCATGCTCTTTCAGCCGTGGAGGCAGTGTGCCAGAAGGTAATTGAGGAAAGACTTCTGTGAGAACACAGATGTGGTCCCCTGAGAAATGTTAATATGCAGGCGAGTTCGCCATGATACTCCCTAGGCAAGCGGATAAGGGGAGCCAACCCGGAGGCATTCCGAATGACCAATAGGTCTAGGGTGCGCTCGGGAAAAAGTCTCTGAGCCAGAAGCGGGTTTTCTTAGGGGTGAAGTAAACGAGCAGGTTGTAATCATCACCCCGCTTCCTACCATCCCGTTCCTGAGCCTTTGGGGCATGCCCACTCTGGTGGCCCTGCAGCCACGCGAGCAACCTCCTCCTCCTCCCGGAGGGGAAGACCAGAAGGCAGAGGGCTGTCAGGACACGAGGACCGGCAGACGGTGCGACCGTCACTCATGTATGAGATACCTGCTTGAAACCAGCATGGCACATCTGAGCTGCGTCTGGTGTGAACAGGCACCCAGTCCCGCTCCCATCACAGCTGCCACGTGATGCCAGTGGTCCCTTTCCTGAGGCTGTGGTGAGATGTCAGCTGAGGAGCAGCGGTGGTGGCGACGCAGCCCGGTGCCGACAGGCAGCTGCGGGCTGAGAAAGCTGGAGCCCCGACCTGGTGCTCTTGATTACGATGGTACTCCCTTCGAGCACCCTGCCAAAGGGCTCGGGGCTCGGATTCCCGGTCAGAACGGCTGCCGCTGGTGGGAGGGAGTGCCTGGGGCCTGCCACTTCCCTTCCTGTCACCCCTCCACGAGTGCCCTGGTGTTGGCGGCGTGGTCTGCGCTCATGGCAGCGGGGTTGCTGAGCCGTTTTCATTTCTTTTTTGAGGTTAGCCCCAAACGCTCACAGCTCCCACTGGTCTATTGCCTTGTCTCCGGGAGGGTAGGGGTATCAACACGCCTTCTACTTCAGCCCTTTCCATCTCTGACTCCGCCCGAAAGGAAGCCCGCTTCCCTGTCCCGTGC